ATCTGACATATCTTGAAGTTTTTTCACTCTCTTACTCTCTCCCTGTTTTTTTTTCAGTTCTTCGTTGCGTTTCGCTACTGTGCAATTAGGGTTGTTCCTAGTTTCGTCAAAAGTTCCGTTTTTTAGGTATATGAAAGCACCAGATATATATATACAAATGTATGTGTGTATATGAATATATATACATGTGTATGTGCGTGTATACACCGTTGGACTTCCTCTTTGGTTCGCTTTAGCCGTAGGGACGGCATTGATGATGGAACTTTGCATATGATTTGACTTCCTCTTTGGTTTAATGGAACTAACAGTACTAGTTTTTTTTTTCTGGGCAGAGAAATGTGGATGGTGATTGCAATACACAGGATTAGTTTCTTGGGATTCTTGAAGAGGAAGTAAGAGGGGTTTTTTTGCGTTATTGATCTCCAACACCTTTGAAAAATGGACACGATGAACTGTAGACCGGAGTTGCATGTCGCGCAACGAAGCCGTCGGGACAAGCTTAGATCTCATCAACTGAACGATTGGGAAAACCCTAATCATCAACGTCATCATCAGCATCAGATTGAACTCATGATCAACCCAGATCTCGTGAAAAACGCCTCCGGTCCTCCCGGTCTGATCGGTTTTCTTCCTAACCAGATTGCCGTACCGGTCCAAACCGACTCGGTCCACACCTACCAAGATTGCGCCGCTATGTTCATGAACATGCCTCAGGCGATGATGATACCTTCATCGACGATCCATAGAGATGGAATTCATCATGACCCTCATCAAGGATGCAGTGATTCGTCGCAGCTGTGTTGCACGGTGGTAATGAATCACGGGGACGACATTTCGAATAATCTCAACGTACGGTACGATGTGCTGGACCGACCTCTGCGATGTCCGAAGCAGACTTATGATGCTGGTCAAGACGTTGTTGATCGATCTAGTTTGTCCAGCAGTGAGATTTCTAGTCAGGTTGATGATAAGAAGTACCATTTGAATCCTCTTTATCAAAACTATTATCAGAATAGCGTAGTCACGTTAGCGGGCTTGGGACCGATGCAAGATGATAACAGAGAGAGTGTTTATGAACACTGTTCGTGGCCCGGGAATTCGCAGGGAGAACTCGTGTTTCTGCCGAGTAATGGGAACCAGCAGCCGGATTCTTGGTTGAGTAGACCTGTTGGGAGTAATGTGAATCAATGGACCGACGGATCGGGTTCTATTGTTTCAAGAAAACATGACCAAGAACCGAGAAATGTTACGACGGCTTCTGTAAAGAAAGGCTTGTCTCTGTTTCTTGAGCAAGAAGTACCTATACCGTCCATGATTAGTAGGAGGTCTTCAGGAAAATCACTAGCTGATGTGGCTTTTGAAGGTGGAGTTTCTGCTTCGTCTTTGGTTAATGTCCAGAGAGACGTTGGTCCGCTCGGGCCATTCACGGGCTATGCCACGATCCTGAAGAGCTCGAGGTTCTTGAAGCCTGCTCAACAACTTCTGGACGAGTTCTGCAATGGCTATGTTGCATGGATCACTTCTAGAAGTGAATCTAACTTCATGGATGCGGCGAATTCGTGTAACGAAGGTGGAACTATTCGAAGCTGCAACGGTGTTGAAGGGTTTAGCTCTTCTGACCCGATTAAGCCCGAAACCCGACTTAAGAAGGCAAAACTTAGTTTACTACAAGAAGAGGTTAGTGCCACACAATCATTAAGCCTTTTTTAGCTACATTTTTCTTAATGAATATGAAATTGCTTGAAAAATCTAACTTGAAACTTGAATTTTCTCTCCAACATGTTGATTATTACAAAAGGTGTGCAGAAGGTACAAGCTGTATAACCAGCAAATGCAAATGGTGGTATCGTCATTCGAGTCTGTTGCCGGACTCAGCACTGCGACACCGTACATCTCCTTGGCTCTTGGCCGAATCTCGAAAAGTTTCCAGAGCCTAAGGATTGCAATCACCGACCAGCTGATGCATATCTCGGGAAATGGTTACGGTACTACCAACCAAACATCGTATAATACAAAGTTTACGAGCCCTAGTAATGACATTATGGACGGTGCCAAGAAGCAAAGATCGACGATGTGCAACAATGGCGTTTCTCTCGAGCCTCAAAGCCAGAATGTATGGAGGCCTCAACGAGGGCTTCCTGAGCGAGCGGTGTCGGTCCTGAGAGCGTGGCTTTTCGACCATTTTCTCCACCCGTTAAGTCTCGCCCCCTTTGATATTTGATTAATCTGTAAACTTGTTTTCTTCTGGGTCCGATTTCATGTGATGTGATTTCGTGTTGGTCCATTGTCTTTAACGTGATATGTGTGATGTGATTTCTCATGCTTTTATTTTTGGTTTGGTTATACTGTGTTTAGGTACCCCACGGACAATGATAAGCAGATGTTGGCCACTCAAACCGGCCTTTCTCGAAACCAGGTACACGAATTCATCGGTCTCTTTCTCGATCTTGAAATTATCAATAACCGTGGTCGGTCCAAAATTCTTCAACTGTTACTTGATTGTGTGTTCAAGTGGTGGGATATATTTTTGTTTACGTGACTGTGTGTTCATGTTGATTAGCTTTGAGTTGTAGCTTTTGATAAGACTGGGAAACAAATGCATGTGAAGAATGAGAGAGAGAGAGAGGGAGGCTGTTTTGCACCTCTTTTCATGATGTGTTTGTTGATACGTCTTTTCACTAGGAGGGAAAAAAAAAAGCTCATGCAAACATTTCGCTATTAGGGAAATTAATGCCTTGTTATATTTACGACAACGAGATGTATTTGCCATTACTACATATTTATTATACCTCGGTGAACTTCCTTATACGCTCTCTTCACATAAGTTTTTGGACCCTTTTAATCACGGTCGATACATACGTACATACACACATATATATATATTTATATGTGTATGCATTTTCTTGATCGATGTGACAAAACTGTGGTTTTTCAGGTATCGAACTGGTTCATAAACGCTCGAGTTCGCGTGTGGAAACCGATGGTGGAGGAGATGCACATGCTGGAGATGAAAGCCATGGTTGCTGCAGCAGCAGCCGACACAGACGACCAAACCCTAAAAACATCCGACATGACAAGCAACGTGGGACATTCGAACGGACCATGTAATAACAACTTTGGCCAGAACGGGACGACGAGCGAGCAAGCAGTGGAGCTCCGAGGGAACAGCAACGTGGATGGAGTGGTCGAGAAGAGGTCGAGAGTGGACCACATGCGCTGCAACGTGGACTTGTCGGGGGGGTTGATGGGGTTCGTGCCGTATGGTCACCAGAGGGGTGGGTTCGATAGAGGGCCGGGGAACGTGTCGCTGACGCTCGGGCTCATGCATGGCGCCGACAGCGTTCCCCAAACGCAGACGCAAACGCAAACGCAAACGCATCAGAATGAGTTTGGAGTAGGCCGGATGGTTCACGACTTCGTGGGTTGATCTTTCGTTTACCTTTTTAATGGGTCCAAACTCCAAAGTGTGTTTTAACCGTTTTTGTCGTTATTAAAATATTTTCTTAGCTGGTTAGTCTTATTAGGGCAAATGAAATCGAAGAAGGTTTTAGGGTTTTTGTATTGGAATCCTAAAATTTTGCTCGCTTTAAATTTGTCTTCCTTGATTCCATGATCTTATCTTATACCCCCTTATGAAACAATCCTCGTGCGAGTAAAATACAAGAAACGGTATCCAATAGTTTATTTATGTTACAAAACAATATAAAAGAGGTCCACCAATATATATGTACATATATATATATGTATAAATTAAAATTAAAAATTTAAATAAATATATATAGAGAGCTAAATTCACCGATACATTGTTCAGATATCTATGCACGTACATCTACGTGTATATATATATATATATATATATATATATATTCATGGCTGAGCAAATGCTAACGATCACCGTGATGTCGGATCACAACTTATCAGCTCTCCAAGATTGGTATTATCTCGAAATTCTCCCATTAAATTATCTACCGAGTTGTATCTTTGTATACCCGAGTGGAGGATTTTTGTCTTGAAATGTCAGTCTTGAAGATATTTTGTCTGCTCAACGATCGGAACAAATAACAATATTTAAATATATCATAAATGTTTCCAAAAAATAATAAATTACTGATCTTGAAAAATATATCATAAAAAAGTAACGAAGAAATTTTAATACCAATGATTAATCGCGTCAAAAAATAATAAATTACATATCCATAGGATTTTACCATATGCTAAAGGAAAATAAACTCATTGGTTAGCCCAAATGTTTCCAAAAATTTCAAACCTGCCATCTAAAAATGGCGTGGCTGATTTCTCGAGCCCACGTACCAAGGTCCCTGTATATTTTATAATTATCATTTTCAGACCCATAGTTTTTTTTTAAATCGAAATGAAAACAAATTGACCAATTTGAGATAGACAATTTCTCATTCCGGACTTTGTCAATTGGAAACATTATAAAATAACACCAATTTATTTGAGATTAATCAAACGTTTTGGTACATTTTTTGACGTTTTATAATGAGGAAACGTTTTAGGTCTTGAATATGTCGTTGGAAGACGTAATTAACGTGTTAGGTTAATTAACTAATCCGAGATTAATGATGCTAAGCACACTTTTGACAAATATTTAGAGTAAACATTCAAAGTTTAACTAATACGTTTCTGACATTGTCAGGTTGATTAAGTCTATCATTAGGTTTCTAGAACACATACTGTTTGTCTACGAGGGAACAAATAAAAGAAATTATCAATTCCGTACACCAATCCAACAAGTGAACGATTCGTATTCGGATGGCAGAAATTGCTAAAAAAAAAAAAAGCATTGCTTAAATTATTAAATAGAAATTTCAATATATAATACGGGTCTGTAATTATATTCTCCAATTCTAGTATATATATTATCTGTACCATCAAAATTTTATAATAATAGCCTGTTATTTACGGTCTCTAAACTAAATGGAATTCGAGCAGCTTATGTTATTGAGCGTATTTATACCAGGGTAATCGCCTAAAAAATCACGATTTTTTTTTAAAAATCTATATGAAATCACCAACTTTGTAACTTATATATAAAACCATAAATTTTATAAATCTTGTCATATTCCTATATATCAATCTGTAGTTTTATGAATTTTATAATTTTCATGAACTTACGAATTTTGTGGAAATATGATAAGATTAATAACGTTCATGGTTTTATGTAGAAATGATAAAATTCATGATTTTATATAGATTTTTTTTTAAAAAAAAAATTGTGATTTTTAGAAAATTATCTCTATTTACATCGTATAGTATCTTTGTAACTTATATACGAAATCATATATTTTATAAATCTTGTCATATTCTTATATATTAATCTATAGTTTTATGAATTTTATAATTTTCATGAACTTACGAATTTTGTAGAAATATGATAAGATTAATAACGTTCATGGTGTTATATAGAAATGATAAAATTCATGATTTTATATAGACTTTTTTTATAAAAAAATCGGGATTTTTTAGAAAATTTTACCTATTTACATCATATATTAATTGGAGTATTCGGTGAAACACGTTACAAGTATAATCAACTAGAAAAAATTATTCTAGTGTTATGGTTTTGGCATGGTATTATAATCCTAAGTTTTATACGAAAGGAAAATGATATATTTTTATGTATTATTGGCTTTTCTCTTTAAAAAAAATATAGGTATTAGTATTATAATCTCAGATTGGTTGGGACTTAATTAATAACGACTCAATGTCGATTTTGTATTTCTTAATTAATAATTTCTAATTCAACAACAGGGCATCTTTCTTTTTTTTGGGTTAGCCTTGGTAGATTATGTTTTATTTAGGAATATTATTCTGCAACCAAAAGTTTTAATATTAAATTTACAATATGGTTCTTTGAGATAGTCTATTCTCTCATCATTAAAAAAAAAGATCAATAAAATTATTAATGATATATAGTTTGAAATTCGAAGAGTCCGAGGAACACGAGACTATTTCTTGGCAAAGAAAAATAATCAAAAGCATTGGCTCCTTTTCAAGGTCAAGCCATGATGCGATTACAAGACGGTTTTGGTAAGGTGTTGCATGATTTGTTCTGGAAAGATCAGACAATTCAATGTATTTTTTATTTTATATATATATATATATATATATATGTATGAAAAAACCATATAAAAATATGTTAAACTTATTTTTTTAAAAATAAATGCATAAATTTTTGGATAACTTAATGTTTTTTTATTGAATATATGGATTTTCATTACATATATGCTCTTATAAAATATTTATAAAAAAATATTTATGTCCGTCATCCATTAGCTTGATTTCAATTTTCCTCCCATGACCCGACATTTATTCTCTTATTAATTTAATGAAAACAAACAACCTTTGATCAACCAACCACTCTAATTAAATTAGTTTTAATTTTTTGACTAATGGTCTCGGAAGATCAAAGAGAAGTCAAGTTCTCTATCATCACGTTTTTTTAAATGTAAATCCTATATTTTCATATACGATCATTCTCATGTATGAACAAAAAAAAAAAAAGAGTTTAAAGATCTACGTCAATAAATTTTTGGACACATTAATCTCATTTTTTAAAATTAGCACATATGTTAAATCGCAATCCGTTTTCGATATTTTACTTAAAAAATCGAATGTGCCATTTATTTATTTTTATAATTCGTAAGGTTATCGAACTTTTGTCCAATTACACTTTTTTAAAAAGAATTTTATATTATTTTTAACTACAAATTATCTTTTGTTTTTTTTTAAGTATTTTTTATTGCAGTGGGTGTTATATCTATTCGATTCTTATCTTTCATTTGTTATTCAACTACCCATTATGGTTTCTTCGTATGAAATTATATATAAATAATAAATATAACTAATATTACTTACGTATTTCATCGTTGTTGAGCAAACGAAATTAAGATGTTAGATAGGATTAGACGGGTCTGACGATATAAATCATTAAAAAAAATATGCATCACGATAATTAAACCATATTCTAAGGGTTAAATTTGAACACATTCACAAAGATGCGTTTTTGTCACCACCTAATATTTCGTAAAAAAACTCAAATTATTATATATATATATACACATAGTCAAATCAAATAAGGATATTCACACAGATTTCCTGCGATAAAACTTGAACATACTCCTTTGGGGTGATTCGCACAGATTTTCTTCTGTAAGCGGATCTTTTCTTTTCTCTCTCTCTCTATATATATACATATATTGTGAATTTGTGAATATTATATTTATAAATATGGAAAAAGACGAACCACTAAAGTAAATGAGAATCACCTAAAAACAGAACAGAACCAATTACATGTTTTCCACCTCAGTCAAATCTGTCGTCTCCATTGACAGAGGAACAAAAGAATGTAAATCTTCTTCATTTTCCTTGTACGGACACCTCTTTGCTTTCCCACAACTGTATATAAGCACTTATTTGCCCATGCGTATTGTATCATGATAACTTGAGTTCAACCATAAAATTTCATTCATCTCTCTCTCTCTCTATCTCTCGACCAAAGAGATTCACTCACGACAAAAATGGAGAAATCATCAATCAAGTGCATGTTCTTCCTTCTCTTCGTATGTGTCACTGTTATTTCGCATTCCAATGCTGCACCAGGTGATGGAGAAACCGGTAAGCCGTATATATTGATCGATCTGTATATACTTTTCTTTTTTCAAATATATTTTTAATGAAATGTGAATAGTGATCTACCTATATATACATTTTAAATTAGGGTTTTTAACTTTATATATATATACACATACATGTCATATATATATTGATCGGTTGTAATTTGTACATGTCATGTTGACATACGATCGGAGTTCAAACGTCACTATAATCCCTGCAACCCCTTGCATTTGGGATGGGTTCGGTTTCTTTATTTATAATCTGATCGCTTCATTAGATATAAAGGGGTGACATGAAATGTCAATATATATATATATATATATATAAATTATTTTTGTTGAAGAGGATGAACACGAGTTTAATTACGAGATGGAGGGGGAGAGGGGGCCGAAGAATTGGGGGAAGCTGAAGCCGGAATGGAAAATGTGCGGGAGAGGGAAGATGCAATCTCCCATTGATCTCTTGAACAAAAGAGTTAGAATCGTTTCTCATCTCGGAAGGCTTAAAAGAGACTACCGTCCCTCCAATGCCACCCTCAAGAACAGAGGCCATGACATGATGGTAGCTGCATCTCTCTCTCTCTCTCTCTCTCTCCCCAAAATTATATATGTATATAATTCAATCACTACACTCACACACACATATTCGTGTATATATCTCTCATATGTTTTCAACTAAAGTGATCGTAAACCCGGAAATGTATATTATTTTATATGATGTTTTCGGATATGGATTTTGTGGCAGTTGAGATTCGAAGACGGAGCAGGAAGAATTCATGTGAAAGGCAGACCGTACACTCTACGGCAAATTCATTGGCATTCACCATCTGAACACACTATCAACGGCAAAAGGTAAATCGATATTTCATCCCTTAATTAGATGATTACTTTCCATTAAATATAAACCGTTTCCATGTTATGCGCTAAGCATATGATTTCGTATTAAATCATGTTCTATTTGTATATGATTTGCCTTTAATATCGGGTGTGTCATCCATATCCACACACATATATATATGATCGGATCGAATCTTGTTTGAGAAATATTTTGACAGACGATTTCCTTACCATAGCATGCATGATGCATGCACGTAACATGCATGCGTTAATTTTAAGAAAATAAATTACAAAAATGAAATGTTTTGTAGGTTTGCTCTCGAACTGCATATGGTTCATGAGAGCAAAAATGGAAGATTCGCTGTCGTCACCATTTTATACAAAATCGGAAGACCCGACACTTTCCTCCAATCGGTGAATATATATCCAATTATGCTCTAATCTTTTTTTTTTAAAAAAATTAATTATTACGTTTAATCCTTTTCTTGATTAGTATTAATTATATTTATTAGGAATAAATTAATTTGCCGGATCTCCTAACCCATTTGATAAAAAAAAAATTGATTAATTTGATTTTTTGTTGGCATAGTTGGAAAATGGGTTGGAGGAGGTTTCTGATAAGCACGAGGCCGAGAAAAACATCGGAATCATCGATCCTAAAAAGATTAAATTTGGGAGCAGAAAATATTACAGATATATTGGATCTCTTACAACTCCTCCTTGTACCCAAAATGTCGTCTGGACCGTCCTTAAAAAGGTATCTTTCATTTTTCTTACAACTATATATTATTAAATTAAAGGATTATATTCTTTTGTATATTTATTTATTGGTTATTTTCACGAAATTTTTAGGTGAGGACCGTCACAAGGGAACAAGTAAGGCTGCTTCGCGTGAGTGTCCATGATGTAAGTGTGCACATATATATACATACGTATAGATAGATAGATATATATATATATATATATAAATGTACTGAAAAATGAAGCATATATTATTTGTGTGGTATGATAATATGTATGACATTGCTACGTCAATCATAAACTAATAATTGAACGGGAAATATGACATCTATATAGTTCAGTGATAAATTATATCTATTTTTCATAAAAATTAATATATGCTTAACATAATTTATTTATTTTAAATTTAAATTCCAGGATTCTAATTCTAATGCGAGACCGATTCAACGAAGGAATAAGCGGCGGGTGTATCTCTACAGACCCAGATATCATTAATTATAAATGAAAACAAATGGTCTATTAAATAGTTTGATTATTTTTTTAAATGTCTCAGATTACAATAAAAGCTTTACTTATTATTGTCGATTCATTTTTAATAATGTCTGTATTTATTGTGCCTTTATGAAAATAATTCTTGTGTATTATAAATAATTACATCTGTATTCGTGAATGGTGAACTAAAATGGAAATTGAAATCATGGCAGAGATTTTACAAACTCAAGTCTAATTAGAAAAAAAAAATAGGATCCATTTTGTTTTTTTTATAAAATTCTACATTTTATTAATATAATGATCACAAAAAATACATATTAACAGGTATTTTAAAATAACGTTTAAAAACTAACATTACATAATACATATTATTTTTAAAATAACTAAATGGTTATTTTATAGTCAACCAAAACATTATCCATTGTATTTCATGCAACATCATGTAGAAAAATAAAATGCGGAAATAAAATAAGACAAATAGAAAGAAACGAAATTACTTTTATTGCTACATCTCTTCTTCTTCTGGTTACATTATAATGAAAATGAACTACATATTTATAGGAAAATTAAGAAATAGAGTAAAAAGGAAATATAGACACAATGGAAACAAATCAGATACACAATATTTTGTATAATGATATTGTATCCATTATTATTCTCCATCATATCTCTAATCTTATTTTACTCCAATCATATATTCATTTTCCCACTTTAACACATCATCGATCCATTATTTCACTGTCAGTTATAATCTTGAATATTTTTAACGAATCTTACTGTAACAAAAGTTGTCAGTAATATTTGATAAATGTATTTTGATAATAATCTTTGACAATCACTTCGATAAAATTCCAATTCATTCCATAATGTAGGGAGAAATAAGATCTTGTAACGACAAAAATAAAGCCCCCAAAATTGGTGATCATTTTGTTTTATGTTTTTTTTTTCTTTTTCGGTATGATGTTTGAAATAAAAAAATGAGAATTGGTAAAGAATCTTTATGTTTAGATATAAAAATTTGTTTATTCTTTTAATTAATCCAACATATAATTTTTATTTTTTGGTAGACCAGACCGTATTTTTTTGTATATATATGAGATTTTGATAGAATCTCTTGCAAATCAAATCTGTAAAAGTTCATAATTATTTACAAGGCGTGGCTTTCAAATATTAATGATTTTTTTTTCAGCAGTACTTCGGTTTATTTTAAATTATTTATAATCCAATAAAATAATATAATATAACAATAGTTTTTTTTTGTTGAAAATAATGTAACAATAGTTGGGGAGGAAGACAACCGCGCTCTCCCTCTCTCGCCGGAGCTCTCTCTCCCTGGCGCGCGCTCTTTCCCCGTCGGCCGAGGGTCAGTCCTCTCCTCCTCAACATATTCTCTCTGAAGCATGTTCGTAGAGGTATCTCTCTCTTTTCCGAGCTAATTTCGTCCCGGATTCTCTCATGCAAGCTGGATTTCTTCCTCTCATCCTTCATTTTTCGCGTTAATTCTCCGAGGAGGAGAGGTAGATGATTAAGGGGTTTTGCGGGTTGGAGAAAATTTGGGTAATCATTCTCTTGCATGCCTTTGAATCGTTCTACCGAGTGGTAGGGTTATCTCAGTGACTCACAGTGGCTTTTGGGAAGGATTTGGGCGATTTTCGAGCCTAATCGCAACAATGTAGTGTTAATTAAGAAGTATAATTGGGGTCCTTATCGTGTTGTGTTGCTGAATTTAGGGACATGTGTAAGACCCGTTGTCAAAGTTCTGAGCTGCTTTTCTATGTGCTTGAACTGGCCTGGATTTGGGTTTTTTTGTTGTTCATGTGGTAGGGTTGGATGAGGTGGATCGTTGGCTTTAGTTAACATCTTCTGAGTTTTCTTGATTTGGTAGTAAAAAATAATGGCTAAGGACAATCTTCCTTCGGAGAAGGTCAATAAAGAAGATCATAGTTCCTCTATTTGCACAAGATCCTCGGCTGGTGCAGGCTCAACAACACCAGAAGCATCTAGTCTGAGGCGGTCCAGTCGGGGGACACCATCCAAGAAACCTGTGACTTTACAATCTAATACTAGAAAGTCAGAAAGACTAGAAAAACAAACTCTCTCGCCTCCTTCAGTTACCAGAAAGTCCGAGAGAATCGAGAAGAAGAATGCTCCGAGTCCTCTGAGGAGGCCTGATAAAGGAAATAGTGCATCTTCTCTAAACTCTTCAAGGTCAAGGAAGTCTGGTAGGATTTCAGGAGCTTCCCCAGATATCGATCAAAGAAAGCACAAAAAGGAGAAGACTTTGGAAGATTTGACCAGTCATATCAGAAAATGTAAGCCTACAATGACTGGTCGAGCTTATAGAGCATTGTTTATTCGACAAACGGAGGGATCTGAGTAATTAGGTTGTATCTTTCCCATTAAGTCATGTGATGTGATTTATCTATTCTCTTTCGGGTTTGAAATATGGCCCTTTGTTCTATTTTCCAAGTTGATGAGCTTGTCTTGTGAAGAATTATTGTCTTACGCTTTCTTAGTTGTTTACAGTTGATGAACATGGAGACGAGGATAATGGTAATGACCAAGTTGATGGCAATGAGCCTGATAAAAATTGTGAAAAGTATGTGACAGAAACTTTTGCACTAGTAACTCATGGAGATCCTCTGGAGCAGGCAGTATCTCCTTCTCCCCACTCATTCGAGGAGAGCGGCCATGAGGAAGTGAGGGCTTCTCCAAATGCTGATGATGTAGGAGTTGCTGTTACTTCTTTCATGGCAGATGGTGAAAATGATGGTGCCGAAAAAGTTGGCTCAGAATGTCGACAACAAGAGAATCCAGAACCACAGAAGGTTGTTTTTTCCTCTTGTTGTACTTTCTATTGAAAGCCTTTTGACACTGATAAAGGCTTCAAAGAATAGGTCGTCTTGGCCATTTTATCTGTAATTAGTCACGGAATTTACTCCATTAGATATAGTAATGCCGGTACCCTTTTAATTCTATGATACAAATTCTGTTATGCATCGGATTAGGATCAAGGTGGGACGGAAGTTGCTTCCGGTAAGGACTGTGGGGAGAATAATGGACAAACTAGACAACAAGATGAATCAAATGATTGCAAAGCAGATTCATCGGGCTATGCGGAGTATTGGGTGCCAGTGCAGATATCAGATATACAGCTGGAGCAATATTGTATGACTCTCCTGTCCAATTCCTTACCTCTCTGTTCGCGGTCGAAGAATGATCCTGTCGGAGCTCTGCATAACACTCTTATTTCTGCCATGAAGGTTAGGTTGATATAAAACATGTTGGTGGTGTTAAGTTGTAACGTTTCAAAATTGACAGTTAATAGAAGAGGAAAGTGGGATGAAAGTGAAGCAGCAATGTATCTGGTGGTTGCAGCATTGCTGTTTCACTAGACCATCCAGAAAGAATAGTGTCCCCTTTTCTTGGTGTTTTACTTATTGAGCTTGGGATAAACCTTGTGATACATTATAAAACTTTTAAGTTGATTTTTTATTTTCCAAGTTGTTTTGGTCTAATAATTATATGTTTTTCCCCCTTGCATGTAGAAACTAAACTACCAATATGATAGGGTATGTTAGATATGAGACTGTTGATGGTCAGAGTTGCAGTTTCTGAAAGCCTTTTTAGGCTTAGTTGATGTGTGGATAGAAACTATGAATCTACGATTATGCAGCTTCTTTCTGTGATACCTCTGCAACTTTTTTGACAGACTTGCGACCATCCATATGTTGTGGATAAATCGGTGCGATCACTACTCACCAAGAATGTTGAGCTGGCCAAAGTTCTGGATGTGGAAATCAAAGCAAGTGGAAAATTACATCTACTCGACACAATGCTGAGGGAGATAAGGAAGAAAGGTTCGAAAGCGGTTGTATTCTTCCAGGTACTTAGCGTTTATATGTTAGGTTACTCTGTTATATTTATGGTGTATGAAATTTAATGCATTTTAACACTTTCTTTTACTTGACATATGCATTTCAAAGCCTAGAATCTGTTTAATGAATCATGATTAAGATTGGATGGATTAAAATTTTGTATGATGGTCAATCATAAATGCACTCTTCAGTGACCGACTTATATCATATGGTATGATGGATTCTAAACTTCTTTCCTCTTTCTGGATTTTTTTTCGCATGGACACCTCTCATATATGCTTCATCTTTGAACTGTGGTCAGCAGACTATTAGTGACTCTGGAAAGAGTTTGATTGGTGGTCTTCTCGAGGAGTTTATGCTCGAGAGATTTGGAGAATCATCTTATGTGTGTATAGATCGTAATGTCTTGGCTTCAAAGAACCAATCTTCTATTGACAGATTCAACAAGGAGAGTGAAAGATTTGTGCTACTGTTGGAAACACGTGTCTGCACAAATGGTATTAAGCTTTCATCAGCCGAGGCTTTTATTCTTTTTAATAGCAGCTGGAATCCATTGCATGATCTAAGGTTCATACAGAGGATAAAGATCGAGTCGGAAAGTACCAAAATATTCCGATTGTACTCGTCATGTACAGTTGAAGAAAAGGCTTTGCTTCTAGCTCGGCAGAATAAGCCTATTGTTGAGAAACCAAGCCCTCTTATCATTCATGCGCTGCTCATGTGGGGGGCTTCCTATTTATTTGAAAAACTGGATTGTTTTCACAGCAATCAAACCACAGAATCAGGAGTTCTTTTCGGGCAATCTATTATTGAAGGTGCAATTGATGAGATTTTGTCCATACTTTCTCCCAAAGGTGGCAGCAAGAAGAAAAGCAAGCGATATCTAATCTTGGAAGCCAAACATGTTCAAGGAACTTACAGTACTGATTCTACATTATTTGGTGAAGAGAAGGTTAAGCTGTCAGATGAGAAGCGTCCAAACATATTTTGGACAAAATTGTTGAATGAAAGGAATCCAATGTGGAGATACTGTTCAGTTTCATCGCAAAGAAACCGAAAAAGGGTAAGCTATTTGGAGGACTCTGAACCAAGTAATGGAGTTCGAAATGGGAGAGTTTCAAAGAAGCAAAAGAGGGCTGCTGGTGAAAGCTTTGATCCCCCAGCATTCATTGAGGAAGAAAAGGCCAGTGAGAAGGACCGGAAGGGTAAAAAGATGAACTTTCACAAATACGCCTATAGAATTCACTGAATCTTGTGACTGGTTTTCTGAAACATGCTTCTTCTGCAGGGGCTTTGGGATCACATAGATCTGCTTCTGGTACTGATGACATCTTGCATGTAAATGATGCTCTTGAATTGTATTCTTTGGAAGGTAATATCTCTGAAATCCCAGAGGATATGTTAACTGGCAATGATGCTAGGAAAGGACTCTGTGAGTCACAGAAAAATCTCCATGCTGCTCTAAACCCTGATATGGCTAAACTTTGCCAAGTTTTACATCTTTCGGTAAGTGACTTTTCTATGATGGTTGACTATCTTCTGGATTTGGCCGGTATGCATTGCAGAACTTTGATAAGAAATTTTTTCCTTTTGACGCTACTGCAAAACGTGAAATTTTTGGTGATCAACTTTATTGCATTAAAATATATGCGATGTTCTAGTAATTGCATTTTTTCTCCCATCAAATGTACTCTTACAGTCTTACTTTTGTGAGGAAGTGTGGAATGCTACATATGTGGCTTATGTCCTAGGAACTTTATGTGAGATAGTCATCAAAGTTTTCTTTCCTTTTCTAACCTCGAGTCTTCATATCTGATGGAAAACAAAATTGAATGAGACACATTTTCTCCTTCTATTCTATTGCAAAATCTGAGCTGTTGGTAGAGCATTTGTTTTGTTCACTGATATATTTTTTGCACATAAACCATTATTTATGTTAATTGTGGTATCTCTTGTATCCCTCTAGTGTATCCTATTTAACAATTCGTCTAATATCTATTACCTCTGCTTTGTGTCCATGACGACCTCTTCCATTATTGTTTACAACCCCTACCTATCAAAGTCATGTTGAGAAATTGTACTTCTGGCATGCATTATTGGTTAACGTATACGTTTTTTTGTTGTTTCAGGCAGATGTGATGATTGTGGTTGAGAACTTTCTTGAATACGTCATCAATAACCATCATGTCTGCAAAGAACCGACCACCATATTGCAGGCTTTCCAGATCGCCGTGGTACGACTCTGACTTAGATATTTATGCCTTTGTTGTTGCTCCCTCATATGCTTATTTTTTCATACTTGCCACTTTAAGGAAAAAAAATATTGATTGGGAAGAAAAATTAGGTGCAAAAATCTCGGCGCTGAGGAGCCTGTATTGATTGAACAATTGACTAGAAATACTCCTGCGTGGTGCAAATCTTTGGGTCTGGATACTGCCAAGAATGTAGTCGGCCATTTAGGCCCTTGTTCTAGAAGTCTGGCAGCCTTAGCTAGTTGCGCGTCACTAAGATGTCATGCTTTCATGTCTTCAATTTGATTCTTGTATTTCTCATACTGAATGTGAAATCTTTTGGATTGTCAGTGTTGGGTTGCAGCTACATTACTAAAGCAAAAGATTAACCGCACGGAATCTCTGGCACTTGCTAAAGATCGTCTAGTGTATGGCTGCTCGAAGGGAGAGGTTGAATATATCTATTCTATGTTGTGGTGTTTAAGGAGTGTATTCTTTAAGAGCCAAGGTTCAAGGTTGGAGTGTCTTCTAAAAGTTTCTGAACCATCAATGGAAGGTACCAGTAAGAATCCAGTGGACGAAAGTACGTCACAGGCAATGTTTCTCCAAGAAAAGAAGATTGCAGAAAAAGCTTTTGGCACAGAGAGTGAAACATGCATGTCTGAGAAGAGATGCCTTGATTATGGTTCAATGAAGAAGGATATTGACAAAAGTATCCAAGACATTGTAAAAAAATGTGGAAAACAAGTCAGAAAGCTTTTGGCGAAGCATGAAGAAGAAAAAATAGAGCTGGCAAGGGACTATGAAAAAGACAAGAGAGACTTGGGAATAAGGAAAAAGGCAAAAGCAATAGTTATCAATACTGTGTGGAGGACCGGAAGTACACAGGGTAAGATAGAGGCGCTGACAGAAATGGACTACGAATTCGAAAGGAAGTTTGATCTGCTCAAAAGCCAGATGGTTGAAAGCCTCAAGAATCTAAAGGAGAAGCACGAGGCTGAAAGGAAGAAGATGGCAGAATATGAAGCTGATTGGATTAAAAGAATGGAGAGATGGGCTGAAGAATTATTTTGTCTTATGCAGCATAACAAAAGTGACCATCCGAATGGAATAATTCCACCAAGCACTTCTGGAAATGTTCCTGATGTAGCTGCAACAAGCAATGACCTTGCTGGGGACGGATGTGAGGAACGCCAAGAGGCAATGGATCTTGTAATGGTGAGAAATGGACAAGAGGATATATTACCAGATACATCGTCTCAACGGCAAACACATGATGTGATTATCGAGAGCAGGTCTGATGGTTCTACTCCAGCAACAGAACATGAAACGTTGGCTACTACTGATTATCAAGAGAAAGATGCAGCCTCTAATGTAAGTTTGTCTGAGGATAATGTCCATGATGCAGTGACATTACCAGAACCTGATGAAGATGTTACCTTGAGGGTGCCACTAGAAAATGGTGCATCCGAAGATCTGCCTTCGAATGGAGAACAGCCTTTGCTTTCGGCAGAAAATAATGGAGCAAGTAATTTGACACCCAACTCTGTTGCCATCTCAGACCAGTGGAATGGGCTCAACCAAGTAACTTTCTGTCTCTATGAAATACTATTAATGTTAACTTTTCTCTTAATTGTTTCCCTTTTCCCTGGGTTTAAAATCCTAGATATCTGTAATCTTCATTTTAAAGTTTTTGCAGGAAAAAGTGGGTATCGATCAGATACGTATTTGCTTATAATATTTTTTTTGACAGGCCGCTCATGATATGCTTCCTCCACCATCGTCACTGGCTGGAACTCAACATGACCCTTCACCACACACTGAGAGCCAAAATATCGAACAAGTAGCTGAGCCTTCCATAGCTGAACCGAATACGTGTGAAGAGGAAGAAGCTGAGCCTTCCATAGTTGAACATGAAATGGAAGAAGCTGAGCCTTCCGTAGCTGAACAAGATACTCGTGAAATGGAAGTAGCTGATCCTTTGATCGCTGAATCAGATACTCATGGAATGGAAGTAACTGAATCTCTACACCGTTCAAGCAACGGAGATGTTGTTTCCCAAAGTACTGGGACTTCGTCGCATCATGCAGAGAACCTTGTAGAGCCTTCAGCAGGTGGTGCAAGGAACCAGCCAGCTACCACTCAAGGCAGATTGATGACCAATCATATACCGCATAGTACGGGTCAAGCTGCTCCTCAGAAACCATTCAGTGACCCGTTTCAGTATGAGCTAGAGAAGATACATAGAGAAGCAGAGACAGATGTGAAGAACCATGAAGATGCCGTTAGTTCTTTTCTTATCCTCGTTTCATCGCTTTTTGTTGGTTTTGGTTTCTCTATGGTCATTTTCTCGATGCTTATATGCAGAAATTACAATTGAAAGTTGAATTAGAGACGAAGATGGCTGAATTAAAGAGGAAGATGGTTGAATTACGATTGGAGTATGAAAACAAATGTCGCGAAGCAGATGTCAAATTGCAGGTCAGAGCAAAGGAGCTAGAAACGTATAAGAAACTTGTTGTCATGAACAAGCACTTGGCAGATGCTTTCAAGATTAAATGCGCAGATCCAAATGCAGCTTCTGGAAGAACTGCAGCTTCTAGAGGTAAGTGAACCGTTTCAATCATGGATTTGAAAAACTGAAATGACAAAAGAAACAGAGACTTATAGATAAGGTATTTCTTTCTGGACAAAGGGGTTCTCATATATTAGAACCATTCCATGGCTTATTGCTACAATCGTTCTAATACATATAGCTTGTTTACTGCGAGATTGACTTGTATATGCTGATTTTGTTGTAGTTTACTATATGTGTTTCTGTTGACAGTAAAGAAATTATTTTCTCTTTCTGCGCAGATACAATACAACTTGTCCAGCAATCCGCACAGGGCCAAGCACCAAGGAGTTTTACCGCCCCTTCTCCCCCATCAGTCACATCAATGGCTCCTTCCCATTCTCCATCAACCGTTCCTCCTCCCATCCCTCGTCCAACTCTCCCTTCTCCTGTCCCTCCCGCCCCTCGTCCATTAGCCCCTCCTTCACAATCTCAATCTACCATTCCTCCTGTCCCGCCTTTCCCACGCCCATTAACCCCTCCTCCTCGGTCTCAGCCGAATGTTCTTCCCGTCCCTCATCCTCCACAGTCTCAACCGGCTGTTCCTTCCCTCCCTCGTCCTTCTGTCCTTCCTCAACGAACCTCCATCCTCTCTCAGTCAAGTCTGAGACCGCCTATGATCATAACCACGACCCCATCTTCGGGTTCCCCTTCACCTGGCTCTACTCCTGCACCCGTGTTTCGGGGAGTACGTGCCCCCGCTCCGCATTTGCAGTCGTACAGATCCTCGCCAGCCGCTGTAGGCAACAATGGTCAACGAGCTCCATCTCCCGCTTGTCAGAACTCTCTTCCCGCTCGAGTTTCCCGACCCGAGGCTGGTGAAGGGCCGAACACCACCACCTCTAGCCTTCCTGTTTTGGCTTCGGAACAAGACGGTCCAAGTTCTGCTACTGCTGCTGCGACATACCCAACTATTCTGATTCAGAAACAGCAACTGGAGCAGGAACAAGGAGGGGACTCGACTAGTTTTGGCTTACAGAGTAACGGAGATGTGGTCTGTCTTTCAGACGATGAGTGAGTTAACAACAATTACGGAACACTCCCTTTTTGTATTTTTGAGAATCCGAAGGTATATAAAAATATTATTGATTTATTAACATGATAGGTTTTTTGGATTATATCTCCGGAACATTTACGTACATACATTTGTATGTATGTATCAATGTCCTGAACATGTCACATGTCATCGATTATGTATGTATCCATGCCCTCCGCCAAAGAGCTCTTCAACGTATCTTATTCTTACGTCTGTTTTGATGCCTTTTAAAAAGCCAGATGGGTGCTTATAAATGTTGAGAATTTAGTTTTATAATTTTTTTATATATAATATTCGATTTAATATATATATATATATATATATATATATATATATATATATTTTATT